GTGGGAGGGACTCTGGATTTCTGCTCAAGGACATGCCCTCCTAGCAACTGCTGAAACTTTCTAAAGAATAGTGTGGTCTAGAGCAGAGCTTCTGAAATTTTAATGCCCATATGAACCACTGGGCATCTCATGAGAATGCAGATTCGGATCCAGTGGGTCTGGGGTGGGACCTGAGATGTGGCATTTCCAACCAGCTCCTAGGTGATGCTGATGCTGCTGGTCCATGGATCACAAGGAGTAGCAGCAAAGAGCAAGACAGTAGCATCTGCATTCAGGAGACATGAACTCACCGTCTTGGTTATATGACCTTGGTCTTTTCATTTCACCTCTGAATCTCAATTTTTATGTGAGGATAAGAGCAACCATTTACAATGCTGTGTCTAGGTGCCAAACACTGTGCTAAACACGTATTTAATTTGATCCTCAAAGCAACCCTGTGAGGTAAGTTGTATTATTACCCTGGCTTTCAGAATTTCTAAAATGGAATTGTTAGCTTTTCTGAGGAATTCTGGATTTATTGAGATGAGCTTTTTCTCAGCACTGTGTACATGCTGATTGGTCTTCTCCTTCAGAGAGATTCTGGGTCCATCTGATTAATCCTGAATATTTCTTCTTCATCAGTCAGTCCTTGACTTTCTTTCCCAGAGCTCATCCTCCCTTATTGTGGAGAATTCTTCCCCAGCCCACTCTCGGTAGGTGTATAGTAGGTGTATGTTTCTGCATGAACACTCATTGGCCTCCACCCCTCCATGGGCCTGTCATACATGCTTCAGCCTGGGGATGCTGTGTTCTTTCCCTCTTCACACTCCCTACAGCAGCCCTGAAACACTGATTTCCACCCCCACTTTACAGTTGAGGAAACCAAGACTTAGGGAAAGGAGGAATCTGCCAAAGGTCACTTGAGACTATAGGAGAGGTGGGATATGAGGCTATATCTTTCCAGCTTCATCCACACCCTTTCCTGTGCATTGCTGTGTTATTATACGCCATATTGTAAGCTCATGGTATCTCAGAATATAAGGGTTGGGAGGGCAGTCATCTTCCTCTCCATAGTTGAATCTTACCTATATCTGGTTGTTGGAATTGTGTTGTTGTCATCATCTGTTGTTGTATACAATGGATTTCTATATAGTTCTAGTTTTGTAAGTTTTCAGAAAGCCAGGTTGTGCTGGCTTAATGGTGGGTGGGTACATTCCCGCCTAAGGAGATTCTTGCCCATATCTCGTATGATAAACCCAAACTCACCATTGTTAGATTGATTCTGACTCATAGTGACCCCACAGG